AGGTTGAATGAATGGCGCCCAATTATTACCTAGAGACCAGACCGTAAAACTAAACGTGACCAGTGGTCTTTGAGATCAATTCGTCTACTCTACAGCAATTCTTGTGTTGCTTTTTTGGCACCCAAACTACAGTCGCCATGGTGAAAAGAAATCACATCAGGGGTGTTGGTGTGTTTTCAATTTGAACGCAAGATGACTGGAAACATGAATTTCTTACATTCGCGACTGCTCGTTAACGCACTTGAAGATCGCCCCACCGACATTCTAATGAGAAGAGAAGCGGGAAGAAGCTGCGATGATCATATAAAATGCGAATTGTGATCCTTGATGATTGTGATTCGGTTCTTTGGCCCTTTGATTAAAGGGGTTGTGTCACTGCCCCCCAGTTCATTTTGTTTAATTTTGCCAATTACTCGCACTCAATCGCTATGGAACTTAAAGTAAGCAAAGAAATTACATGGAAATGACAAAATCAAAGATTTGAGACAAACAAATCTGTCTCCTGAGCATTATTTTGGAAGCTGCAAACAGCAGAGATCAACTTTGAAAAACTGTTAGGCTGAACAGTTTCAAAAACCCTCAATTGCAATCGATTTCAGTCTTCTTCAGTTTTGCCCATCTGTGGCATCTGTTGTGTTATTTTAACCTTCCTTTAATGTTTTAAGCGGTTATTTTTACGTTTCTCTTATTTTAACGTTCATTCATTGTAATTACCTAATTTGGCTGAATTTCATGACACAGCTCCTTTGATTAACCGAGGTGAGATTCGTCATGACTCTTGCAAATTGGTTTATGACCAACGTGATAGGTAAAATTTGTCAAAATGTGTACGCGAAACTGGACCATGACTTCCCCTTTGCTACCCTTAAGAGTGTGTGTGTTGAAGACCAACAAACGGCTTGGAAACTAAAATTTCGAGGACGTTTGTGGACTTTTTACATTTAGGGCATGAATTTTTCTTCATTTCAGGCCATGGAACCTAAAAATGAGCCTAGCTAGCTGTAAAAAGGGGCAATACGGAGGCAATACGTCCTAGCCGGCATGATCACATGCTGTTTACGGAAAATTCCCTCATCCATGTCACGAAATTCTGTATTTTAAAGCCTCGCCTAGGGCATGACTCAGCAATTGAGGACATTTCTGCTACGTTTTCAATGTTGGTTAGCATGCAAGGATTTTTCCCATGCCTATCGTCAATGATTTGCTCATTGGTAATAGAGGGGGTGGCCCCAGAGTAGTTTTGCATTGAAATTGGCATGCGACAGAATTTCGCATGCCTTGTAAGCATAATTTGAGGTTCTGTGACCTTCTCGCCCAGGCCGCGAGAAGCCTAGGTTCTAGTATTAAGTAATTCATACCCAGCAAAATCTCCGGCATGCCGGGCATGCCAAATTTTCTGACATGCCCGGCATGCCAAATTCTCTGGCATACCGGGCGTGCCATGGTCTGGGTCATGCCGGGCATGCCAAAATCGGTCTCTGGCATGCTCTCAACGCTCAGGTTATAATTCCTTGAATCTACAGATATTTTAAGCTTGGCTAAAAGAAAAAAAAAACTAAACAGATCACAGTGCTTATCTTTTCATGTACGGTTACACGATGACGTCATTGCTAGTCCTTTCATTTTCATAGATTTGGTTGTCCCAGCGAAGTTTAAATAACAAAAGCTCTAATTTTCACAAGAAAGTAAAACCCTGAGGGATTCTGCCGTAGTAATAAAACAGCGTCATCGTGGAGATGACCTGTTGGGGGATTGTAAAAACTCCTCACCCCTTTTTATGAGTCTTTAATAGGATTCCCATTTCACATTGCGAATAAAACGGAATTGACTGAAATCAGTAAAAAGAGACACAGAGACTATTTTCATTGTATAATAAAATGCATCTATGTTCCATGAAAGCTTTTAAAAATACAAGGTTATAGAATATCTTTCAAAGTTCATTACAAACTGAGCTAAGCCCCAAAATCACTGTTCATTATTCAGTAAATTATGATGTTTGACAATGCAATGTGCTTGAATATAACGTTGCAATTACAAATCTCTCTAACGCAATTTTCCCTACGTTAGAAAAGCTGTTTTTATCTTGTTTCACATTTTGATAAGGAGTCTGAGTTCCTCTTTCTTGTTTTGTAGGCTTGTGTCATTACCAGTGTCTGTGTTCTTTGTTTTTAACTCAAAGTAAGTCAGTAATAACTGACAGTATCAAAGAATTGCTCTCTAGAAAAGTAATTATCTCCTCGTCATGTCTGGAAGTCACCTGTAACAAAAAAGAAATGGAATGTTAACACATGCAAGGGCAATATGAAAAAAAGAAATAGAACATGTAGAGCTCAGCTTCTCTTAACATATTTTCATACTGGCTTGTTGAATCTGTTAAAGCTCGCAACTAATTGTCTGAGGCTGATTTCACAAGAGTGTGCAATTGAGATAAAATGATGGTAAATAAAGTGAAAGAAACGTGGTTTCACATTAGCCAATTTACAATGCGTTGTTCGATGATGTTTACACGCTTTTCTACTGCGAAATAAACCTTTGCCTGTGGATTTGCAAGCCAAGATTATACCGAGTTTGACTGACACTTAATTGAACAACAGTTTCCTTTTTAAGCAGGTAAGGTGTAGACCCATATAAAGCCGGAATATGTAAAGGAAACTCAGCGAAAACTTTTTCGCGTCTTTTTGTGGCGATATTCTCTCACGGCCCGTCAACTGATTAGGGGTTGTGAAGAAAAAATAAATTAGGACCAAAGGTTAAAGCCTGTCCGGTTACATCATTTCGTATGTTACCTAGAGTTCTAATAAACAGGTCATAAAATAGGATTTAACGAGAGCGAATTTGTTTCTCAATCGGTGTATAAAAAAGTGAAGCTATCAAATGAGAAGTTTATAGAGTATCAAAATTATTAAATTAAAAGCTCATATAATTAGGAAAATTCCTGTACGAAAACAATGCTAGTGACATTAAATTGATCAGATAAAATTCTCAGAAAATATGTCGAATAAAAGCCTCATTGTTTGCTTTTGTTTTTGCGTAAAGGTAAATTTTTCGGCCCACAAAGCAAAGTTGAAAAAGCGACTAAATCTTAGTTTTTTACATTGAACATGTTTATTAGCCTAGTTTTCGTCCGTTTTAAAAGCTTTATAACCCAATCATAATTTTCGGGTTAAAATAGTACAAAATCATTTCAAAAACCATGTTCATTTAAAGTAGAGCCGGCAAACGTGAACATTTTGTAATTCAAAAGTCGGACCCAGCCAGGTATTTTAAGCTTAGAATTATTTGCATTTTAGCGCCCTATAAATTTACCAGAATCACCTCTCAGAGGCTTACTGTAGCAAAGCATTTTGTAGTACACTCGTAGACAAGCAATGTAAGCCTTAAGTCTTTGCTTGGATGAGATGTCCAAAAGAAAAATTAGTTTTGTGTACCTAAACGCACATTCACCGAGACTGCTTATAAATATTGAGTTGTTCACAACTTTGCATTGACACCTGCAGCATGTTCATTTTTTTAAAGCGAAATCTAAATCTTATTTTGGCATTTGATTTACGGATATTTTATTTTGTCTCCAAAAGTGATTGTAATATCCGTTTGATTGTCTTTCAAACAACAGTCAAACTATGCAGCAAAATAAGTAACTTTACCAGTACAGTGAAAAAATATGACCGTAGGTGACAAAAATAATTATACTCGAGCTATAAAATTAGATCAGACATTTTTTTATCTTTGGGGTCTTATTTTTGAAGTTTTCTCTAGTCTTCTTAAAGCAGAAGAAGATTACAAGACATACAAACAGAAACAATCCGAAGTGAACGAGTTGACAACCACTTATGCCGGAGTTCTTAGGCATGCTCAACAGCAAGATAAACTGAATGCCAAAAGGCTAATTCACGGGATTTGTTCGATATTAGGGAGCTTAAGCAGCAACGTTTTTGAGCGACGCACGTCAACCGGAAGTGGCCTTTTTTCAAATTTTGACGGTGGTTTCGCGCAAATTTTCAGTCAAATCGCCTCTATAACAGTAAAGAAGCTAAGGAATACAAATTTTATATCATCAAGGCATGTTAAGAGGGAAAATACCTCACTTCCGGTTGACGTGCGTCGCTCAAAAACGTCGCTGCTTAAGCTCCCTATTCAGGCTTTTTCGTTACCAAATTACCGTCGATTGCACCTACCCGTGAACGCACGCGCTCAAAACATGTTTTCACGTGACGTCAAACGTCTGAGTTTCAGGTGTCAAACTTTGAAGTTTTCCCGCCCAAATGTGAAGTTCCCTCGGTAGAGTCGGTGTTCTCGTGGTTCACTCTGTTCTCTTGACCGTTCACTGTCAGCGCGGTCAAGAAATCAGAGAAAAATCAGCGAAAATCTTTTCACTGATATGGAGAGCCGAAAAAGTATAGAGGACTTTCTCAGAGAAGTGGATGAAGTTTTATTAATATATGCTGGTGAATTACGAAGCAATGGTTTTATGTAAACAGCGAGCGCAAAGTATCTAACAGAAAACGATCTAGCAAGGATCCCTGAAGGACATAAAAGACTTATCTTAAATATGGTTAGCTGTCTGAGAATCCCCGTACGTGAAAGACGGCAAACTAAGTTCCCCTCATCCTCAGAGAAAAGTCCAGCTTCTAAATCTCCAACGAGGAAAAAAACTGTCCTTAGGTTGGCGAAGCAAGTGTTGGACAAGACACACAGTGATCCCAACGTGAAGCCTGCATCTCACGCCCAATGATAAGACGAGAATTACTGTCCCCTGGAGAAAGACTCGTCAAAGAAAAACATCACGCTGTGGAGGAAAAACTTACCGAAGCAGCTGAAAAACAAAAAGTTCTAGAAGATTGTTACCGAAGTACAAAAAAGAGACTGCTTCCGAAAATAACCTTACCGGCCAACGATGCAGTAATTGACATTACCAAAATCACACTGTTCGCAGTTGTCAGATGTAAAAGTGCGAGTCAGCATTTTTCTGAGGCGAAATAACGCGACATCCTGACGAAAAGATGAAGCTCCAAGAGCAGAAGAACAAAATAAAAGCAATAGAAACATCAGCAACTAAACTTGAACAAGAACTGAGGTCTCGGGAAGCAGCTTTTGATAGAGTGCAGGGGTCTGTAAACAAACAACTAGAAGACATGCTACTCAAAGAATACCCTGAAGAATATGTCCAAAATAATGCAAGAAATTGGCTGAAAATTCAACAGGACATTGCGTTTGTGAAGAAATCATTAAAGGGCAGTGGACCGCCTCGACGAGAAATTGTGAAATCTCTCCTTGAGAGAAAAAAAAAGTCCGCTGAGAACGACAAACGCCTTGGACTTAAAAGTCTTCAGAACGTGACGCAGCCGCGAACAGCTCAACTGCTGAAAATTGCTCGCAAACCAGAGTCCGGCTGGAAAGCTACGGTGTAACTTTCCCTGATGGGCGAAACTTTACTAGCTCAACCAGTTTCTGCTTGTCGCCAAGTACAGCAGAGGAAGAGGAAGAACAGCTTTGCATGGCTAAACAGTTGTCTCTTGGTTCCATACCATTTGATAATGGCGATAACACTGAACAAACTAAGGAAGTGGCCAATATTTTGCTGTCCTTCAAGTCTTCAAACGAATGAATGAAACTTTGACTTTGTGTACGGTATTTTACGTAGCCTGTGTGCTCGATTAACCGTTAATAACTTTACTGTTATTGTAAGATCATAACTAGTTTCTGTCATGTCGACATCCTTTTTCTCTTGTCGTTTAAGCAGTAAAATGTTAGGATGTTTTGAAACAGAAAGTTCATTTTTTGTCGAAATTACACATCGATTGTCGTTTTTTGCATGTGTACGTTTATGCGGAAACTTAGCAATTGCCGTTTTCTCAGATAAGTTGATTTCAATAACACATAGAACAAACTAAGGACGCGGACAATATTTTGCTGTCCTTCAAGTCTTCAAAGACTTCAAAGGAGTGAATGAAACTGACTTTTTTAGCTTTGTGCACGGTATTTTACGTGGCCTGCATGCTCTATTTTACCGTAAATAATTTTACTGTCACAGCTAGTTTCTGACTTGTTGACATCCGTTTTTCCTCGTTTAAGTAGTAAAATGTTAGGATGTTTTGTAACAGAAACATCATTTGTTTTCGAAACCGCACATCGATTGTTGTTTTTTTCTCATGTTTACGTTTATGCATGCACAAACTTATTAACTGATCAATTAAACTTGCCGTTTTGTCCGATAAATTCAATAAATCGAAACGAACTGTGAGACAATATTGACTTTTTATTGTAGTTTAATATTTGATGGGTTATTGATTCTGTGCTTGTAATGTGTTCACACCATACTATTTCATGCAAGGGAATGAACACAGCGAGCGTTCTCTGAGAACCGGACTTTGTAAAAATACTGTAACGAAAAAACTCTTGACAAATACATTCGGAATTGTGTTAGTAACAGGCCTTTTTACTTTTGGCTTTTCGCATAATTACATATTGTGATAATAACAGAGCAAAATTTGGCGGAAAATAAAACCGCCGAAACATTATAAGTTTTATTTTCAGTGAACAAATTTATAGCTGAGTTTCAAGCAAATTACAGTCTTTGGCAACAACATTTCTGGGTCAGATGACTACAATATTTTACTCTATTTCTCACTCGTCCATGGCAATAATAATATTACTGTATTTGTTCCAAATTACAGTTCTGTCTCTCAAAAAAAATATCCTACATGCTTGTAGTAGCCGTACATGTCGGCCGCTGTTACATCCTCGATCGCTCTCAACACTGCGTATTCCAGGTTATCCCACACTAGTTCCTGGTATCTGTACTTCAACAAATATTTCAGCTTCGAAAATACCTCCTCAACAGGATTCAGATCTGGTGAATACACTGGGAGGAAAATGAGCTCCATTCCCAAATCATTTAGGAAGCTTCGCAGAGCTCTTTCCGCTTCGCCATGATGCGCGGCTAGATTGTCCACCACAACAATGTCGCCAACTTCGAGAATTGGTCTTTGCGTTATTGGATCAACTGTTTGGGAAGCCTCATCAAAGAATCGTAAAAACTGTACAGAGTTCGACGCTCCTTCTATGGTGTTTCCATATTTTACTCCATCATACCCAACCAGAAAGTTCAGGGTGAGGTTTGCGGTAGACAAGTATCTTCGCGCTTCTACGCAATCTTCACCGACAGGTGACAAACCAAAGTTTCTGTGACCGGCATCAGGCAGTTGAAAACCTGACTCATCGAAAAACTTAACAGAGGAAGGATCTTTGTCTTTTAAATAGTCAATGTACAACTGAGTGTACACTATATTTTCTGGAGTAAAACGCTCTGACGCACATTTCCCCAATCTTTTTCGGGAATAGTTGCGGCCACTTGGGAGTTTGTTCCTAATATTTCTGGAAATTGTTGATGTTGACAGTTTTCCGCAGTCACCGTGAATGGCCAAATCATCGCGCAGTTCTTTAAGAGAGGACGAACCTCTTGCTTGCACCATGGTCTCCAACAGAATAGAGTCTTGGAAAGTACACTTAGGAACTGTTCGAACGTGATTCAACTTTTTGGGAGCCGTGCTTCCAGTCAAGTTGTACTGCTTAACGATTTTTGAAACTGAACCCTTGCTGATGCGTAATCTTCTCCCAACTTCTGAAAAACAAATAATCCTGCGCAAGTTCTTTTACTTGATTCCGCAAATCGCTTGAAAGTGGGACACCTTTTTGATAATTTCTTCCTTTCTTGTTGATTGAAAACATCTTCCCTTTGAGCAGTGCCGAGAAGGATAACTTCAGATTTGGGCGGGAAAACTTCAAAGTTTGACACCTGAAACTCAGACGTTTGACGTCACGTGAAAACATGTTTTACGCGCGTGTGTTCACGGGTAGATGCAATCGACGGTAATACTAAATTTGTACTTACAGTCTCTCGAAGAATCCATTTCTTGTCCAGCATTCACCAACATCTCAAACATGCACCGCAGAAAAAAAAGACAAACAAGTGCGAAGAGACATGACGACATCGTGACGTCACAACTGCCACGCTACAACAAACTAGATTCATCGTCATCCGAAAACACTTCTGCGGAAATTCGGTCGATTTCGTGCGTGCTCGGGGTATCTTCGGATGACGCAGATGACGTTGCTCAAAGGACTATCGTCAGCAAGGAGTAAAACAGTTTCCGAGATTCGCATAGCCGACAAGGAGCGCACTGAAAAACTAAGCAAAATCTCTCTGAGAAGGCAGTCCAAATTCACCAAAGCAGAACGTCTTTGCAGTATTAACGTCGTACTCTCGTACTGACTTGAACGACCTGGTAAGCCTAATTTTCACCAGTCTTTTAATGCTGTTGACCGGGAAACTTTCGGACGCGATAAAATTTAAGCGTGGATAAGTTTATACTGAGAAGATTTGTTATCTTATTGTTTAAGACGCTTTTCCGCGATCAAATTTAAATCTGGACCCAGAAATGTCAATATCGGTTTGAAATAAAAGGATTAATCTTTGATTGCAAGTTATGTATTCTATTTTATGCATGAATAATGTTGTTTTGTTGAACTTTTTATTCATAAATCCAGGCTTCTGTCTTCAGTTTTGCCAGTCGATCCCGTGACACATTGTGACAAACATGACTTTTTTTGTTATAATCTGCATTTATTGCCAGGCATGAAACCTGTAACTTTAAGCTCCCTAAGATATATTTGGCGATTATATGCGATTCTCAGGATATGATGCTGAAGCGAACATCAAAATCAGTCTCGCTGGGCATGCCAATTTCTTGCCTGTCATGCCGGGCATGCCAAACCAAGTGGCTTCACGATCGGCATGCCCGGCATGTCAAACCAGAGGAGCAAAAACTGGGAATGAATTATCAACCCGGTGAGAGATCTGGGACCTAAGTTTAGCTGGGTCAATTTTGGGCTGCGAGGGCATGAACCCATTTTTTCCATGCCTATGAGATGTTATTTCTAAGTACCAATGTTCCCGTGAATTTTGTCATGCCTAAATATATAAAATTTTCCCTCTCTCATTAATCCTCAGACTGGATGCGATTTTTACGCCCGCTAGGCATGTTCAACTGAAAATCATGCCCATACCCTTATTCAAAACAAAATGCTATCAAATTTTAGTTTCCAAGCCGTTAACATGGCAGAGTTGTGTTTACCGTTCCGTCTACATTTGTGCATAAACCTCTTCCGACCGGCTGGGTAACATCTTCGCACGTTTTGAGGTCATCTAGAGTTTCTTTTTGGTAAAAATCAACTTGTGAAAGATTTCCGTTCTTGATAATTTTTCAAAGCGTGTGTTTCCCAAACTTAAGAAACAGCTCGTTCTTATATTGTGAATCTTTATCCCTGCTTTTCCCTGCTTGCCTTTTGAGCGTACTGGTTCCCAGGCTCCCACAAGCTGACTTCACATTTCAGTGATTATCACGTGGGTGCAGTTCAAATTCACGCGGACCATGGTCAGCATCAAGTCGATTCAGTCGATGTTATTTTCAAGGCAGACTGAGCTGTTCACTTGTGAAGTTGTTAACATGAAGATTGTTTCCAAGTCAGGTTCGTTTTCGAAAGGAAAGATAAAGGTATGGTGATGATAATGGCGGCAGTGGTGTCGTCTGTGTGGTGCTGGCCTTTCTTTAGCATTACTTTGTCGCGCCGTGTTTACTTGCTGACTTTTAGAATTTTGCAAACGTTTGTTGCTAATTTGTCTTTTTCTTGGATTAACTTTGTTTCTGTGGAAAAATTTGTCTGTGTGTAAGATTTCCACACAGCCGCCATACCATGACTAAATTATTCGCCCTGCCATGTAAGAAAATCCGAGACAGTCTTGGATTCCGGATTCCACGCCGTGGATTCCGGATTCAAGGTAATGGATCCCAGGTTCTTTGTCAGTGGAACTTGGATTCTGGATTCCCATCGTTAGTGGGATTTCAAAGCCCTTGAGCTTTATATTTATGGATTCCAAATCCCAGGATTCTGGATATTTCCACAAGCAAATTTTCCAGGATTATGGATTCCACAAATTTGCTGGATTCCGAAATCTGGATTCCTTTTGTGGGGCGATATTATGCATAAGACAATTACATACTACAGTTTCTCACAAACATTTTTGGTGATGAATAGAGATGAATCATGTATATGTATGAATAATAAATGTATGTATGAGACTGTGGGAAAATCTTACCAATTTTATGTTTCTCAATTTCCTTGAAATTCCTAGGAGTTTTTTGAAAGGCAACCTAAGGTCATCAAGCAAAGTTTGGAATTCCTAAGCATTCCATGTCAGTTATCATGTTCCAATACACTTTGATCCCTACAAATTCTGAGAACTCCTAGCTTTTTTAATTGGCAATGAAAGTTTGTCCCCCTGTTATGTATGTGTGGGAATAGTAGTATTTTTATGTTCTTTTGTTCTGCTTGAATTTATTAGTAACACATTTTAACTCCCCCTCTTCTCTCCTCTCTTGTACCTACATTAAATCTTTTTTACCTGATTGTTGAGGCTACACTCATTCTTTCTTCTACAGAAAA